CCCCCAAAACCCCAAAACCCCAAAACCCCAAAATATTAGGGATAATTGAGGTATATAAAAGATGCCTCATTTTAAATACACTTCTAGTGTATCTTAAATTAGCTCGTTTAGGAACAAATGTCAAAGGATACAAGTAATCTACCTCTTGGACAAGAGAAAGAAAGCAATATGGAGGATGAATATGTCGAAACAACCGACCAAGCTCAAGCAATGTGCGAGATTTGATTTGAAATCATGCGGGATCCTAACCCTCAGTGTGAAGAATACAAGATTATTTATTGCTCAAAATGACTTCTTCCTGTTCATAAAGGATGATATGGGAAAGTTGATACTACATTTGAGATCAAGAATGAAGCAAAATATGAGAACTTTATATGAGAGATTTGACAGCTAGAAACTCCTCAGGAATGTACTCTTTGATTCCAATCCGAAGGAATTATGAAGAAAATTAAAGATGAGGAGGCCTATATTCACAGCTGATGAGCTATATTGTGTGACCAATACTACATTTCTGATTTCCAAGCTATGGAATTTACAAAGGTTAGCAGAGAAAGTTCTTCAAAACCCCAAAAGAAGAAATCCTCAAAGGGTAAATATAGCAAGAAGTGAATTTTATGTGAGAAAGAAGGCGGCTTTCTTCTGGAATGTGATGACTCCACTTGAAACCATAAAGCCCATCCTTTCTGTATATTCAAGGATAACAGAGAATCAGCATTGCTCTACTCGAATGACAAAGAAGAGAACAGTAGTTGGTGCATAAAATACCAAAGCTGGTCATGTAAAAGCTTGGTCAAGATAGATGAATTATTCCTGGACAATGACAATTGATATTATTCCCCAATAGAGAGAAAAGGATTTGAAAAAAGAGGAGGAATTGTTTATGTCCATTGAGACATCCACAGACAGCCAGACTTACATTGCTTCTGCATGTCTGACGCGGAATATCAGAAGTTTATGATCTGTTGAGATTACTGAAGTAAGAATTTTCAAAAATTATATTTTAGATGTATGGTTTCACGGAATTTGAATTGGAGTTTCGGACCATGATAAACCTGCCTTTGATGAGTTTACTTGAGATAAATGAAAGAAATGGTCCAATATCAAAATGAAAAGAAAAACCTTGCTTCAAGAAGATGATGAAGAGTCCTTATTAAAAGATCTAAAGTCTTTGATACCACTTTACAACTTCCGATTTGGGCTATTAGATCACATCGAGATAGCTAGCTTCTGGGTAGAATGTATGGAGAAGTTTCTTGAATCTCCAAAGAAATATTCAATCACGCTATTCATTGAGTTGCTAAGATCATGAAATAGAATTCCCATAAACCTATCAACAAAGATTGAAGAACTTCAAAAGTATGTGCTTTCAAATCTCCAAGTAAAATCCCGCTCAAAAGAAGTAAGAAAGCTAGCAAAGGAGGAAGTTCTTGACCCTGTAATTCCTACAAAAATGGAGGTAAGCTCATTTTCATCATTCCTATAGGCAAATCCCTTTGAAGTAACAATCTGTGAAGATGCTGAGGCAGTCAACAATGGGCTACTTAAGAAATTGTCTAAATTTTATAAGAAAAAGAGGTTGCCAAAATCAGTAGAGGAATACAAAGTTTACTCAAATTACCAACAACTTGAGACGCTTGATATGTGCAAGAAGGTATTCATCAATAATGAGAAACTCGAATTCGTCGAACTTGAAGACCTTTACAGGCGACTTGTGGCCTCCAGATATTCAGGACTCTATCTGAGAACAATATTCAACCAAATTGTGGAGTGAAATCTGGTCAAATCAGAGCTAGGGTTCTTTTGAAGCAAACTAAATATTCCTATTTGATTCTCAGACCAGCAGCCTGAAGATGTTGAAATGCAGAATGAGGATGAACCTGATATCAGTATGGACAATTCTGACGATGTGTTCAAACTTTTCTATTCGAAAGTGCCATTCTTCGACCTAAAAGTAATAGTAGAGAGAGCAGAGACTATGCCTGTCCATGTTAGGTTTGATCGAGATTTGGTCACCACATTTCTCACTCAATCTGAAGAATTCTCCCTCGAAGTATCTGACCCCGATGCTGACATAGAAGACTTAATCCAAACATTTAAAAAGATGAAAGTTGTAGACTGGGAAATCTCAAATGATTTCGTCAAAATTTGGGAGCAAAATCATTGTTTGAAGCAAGAGCATGAAAAATTCTTAAGCCAGAAGCAGATCAAGTATGAGGAGTTTGAAGATTTTATGGTTAATATTTACCCTACAACTGGAGAACATAACAAAGAACTTGAATCTGAGTGGAAAGAGATCAAAGCTCTTAAGAAGAGAGCTAAGGCTCTTAAATCAAAGAAACTTAAGGACCTTCAGAAATTCCTAGACAAAAATGATAAGCAGAGGAGAGTAGTCATTCCAGAAATCAAAGATTTGAGGCAAAGACTGGTTATTTTGAAGTTAATGAGTGAGTCCTCAGAGCCCCATCCTTCTCCTACTTGTAGCTGTCTTGGAGATATAGAAGATCTCATTAAAGATCTTAACTCCTCGAAGATAGATTTAAAAGGGATTAATACAAAGAAAGCAAGAACCATAGCTGACTTAAAGTTGAAATACACCAGAAAGGTATTGAAGAAATTTGATAGTGAAACACTTGAAGGAATCACTCAGATTGTCCAGACCTTACATAAAGATCAAGGCATTATCACAGAGGAAATCTATAACAAGTACAGAAACTGGAAACAAAGTTGTGAGTGGTATGAGCAATGAATGGATACAATAAAGAATACCTTTGAACAACTCGGTGATTTTCTGACTAACTGAGAGCTGCTTAATAACAATCTATCCAGTGATACAGTCAAAGATTACCTCAAAGAGAGCTCTAAGATTGATACGATTATCGGAGCAGATGCACAAAGGTTGCATTTTTGTTTGTCCAGAGTATACTATAAATCTCTCACCAGTTATGATGACGACTTTCTTCAGAAAAACCAGAAGCATTTCGAACCACTACTGAGGAATGATTTTGAGTATGCAATTTTCAGAGACAAATCAAAGGTCCAAGAAATATTTGAAAAATTAGAAGAGGATATGACTGATCAAGAGTTGGTTCAAAAAGCTCTGGAGCTAGCTTTCGATACTCTTCCTCAAAGCATTCTGGCAAAACTAGAAGAGACAGATCAAGTCACTGCATTGATATTCAAAGCTTGTTTAGAGATAAAGAATATTTCTGAAAATTTCAAGAATGAACAGGAGTTCTCAAGTGAGCTTTTTGAATTATCTTATCACAAAGAAAGTACCGAGACTGAAGATGAAAGTATATTCTCTACCAAATTAAAGATACTCCATAATGCTATTTCCAAATGCGAAGGAATTATTATCCCTTATGAATCATTTTGGTTAAACTTTGCCAAATCTCAATACGAAGTAATGAACACTTGGATGAATAACTACAAAAAGTACACAAATTGGAAAGAGAAGATACAGAATTCAATGCATAGCTTAATAACCTTAAAACAGGATTCATACACGAGTGAGAAGGTCAGGTGCACACTTCTGTATCCAGCCACAGAGTTCCTAATATCTCCCTCATTCGAAGTAGATGTTCTTCAGAGAGATCTGAAAAGAGTGGAAATATGGATAGAAAATGCTAAATTCGTTTCAAAGAAGTACAATAATAGCTATAAATTTATAACCTTCTCTAAAGAAGAAAGCAGAGATTTAGAGGAGATATTCAGTGAAATGAAATGCCTCCCTTGTTTGAGTAAAGAAAATAAAGACTTATCTAAGACCATTTACCTTCTAGCATGGCTGAGTATGGCAGAAACCATTCAGAACACCGCTGAAGGCAAGAAGAAGTATCAGGAATGGGAAGATCTCAGTAAGATGATTGAGCCGTTTTGGAACGATGAATCTATCTCTACTTCAAAGATTTATAAGTCATTCTATTCAAGTTTTCTGAAGGGCAAGAAACTGTATAGACTGTACAAAGGTACCAGAGCAAAACATAAAGTTACTATTGATGACTTTGACAAAGTATTGAAAGATGCAAAATATTCGAAGATTGATCTTACAGATGAGATAGAACAAGTTTGTAAGAAACTCATCACCTTCAATACCACAATTCAAAACTTCAACAAAGCAAAGAGGACAAGAGAAAATATAAGTTTCTTCCAGCAGTGCTCAAAAGAGCTTAATGAATACCCATTCAAAGATGAAGAAGCGTCAGAATCTCTAAAGCAGATCTTTGAATCATACTCCCTCTTACAAAGCATGATAAAATCCCTAGAAAGTAGTTTTGGCAACAAGCCTAAAATTGTGAAGATCAAAGAATTCACAACAAAGTACACAGAGAACTGTTTCAAATTTGAAGAAGCTGAAAATCTGACCACATTCTTAGAAACAAACAACAGTAATTTTGAGGATGCCAAGAAGCTGTTCCTTGCAATTATGAAAGAAGAGAGGCCTACCTGGGAATCTTTACAAGAAATATACTTAAAACTCAGAGATCTGGCTTACAACTATGGCAAAGAGCAAGAAATCATTGAAACAGATTTGAAATCAATCAAACTGAAATGTTTCCTTGAGACTTTCAAAAGTCAAATGAAAGGGAAAGTGTTCACATACAAAATCTCATGAAATGAAGTTGTTGAGCTAATGCAGAAATACAGGAGTTCACATTCTTCAGAGAACATAAAGGAGGTAAAAGAGAATCTAGCCATTATAAGCAAGGTTGAGGAGTACATCAATACTATCAAAGCCAAAATAGAAGCTATCACTCAAGTTGAAGACCTTGAGAAATTCCTCAAAGAAGGCAGTGCAATTGTTGACTATTCTGATGTAGCTCTTCTGAAAAGAAAACAACTCAGAAATCAAAAATTGAAGCAACAAAGAATTGAAGCTCAGAAGAAAACAAAGAAGAATGATAATAAGAGGAGGAAGAAGAGACCTAAGCATGATTCCACCCGAAATAAACTAAATGACGATGACTGGGAAGAGAAGGATGAACAATTTGAAAACATTGAAGAAGATATCGCAATTGATACTCAAGGAAGTGATTATGAAGAAAAACCGCACCAAAAGAAGAGGGATAAAAAGAATCAATCCAAACTCAACGACCAAACCTCAAAATCCAAATCCAAAAAGAACCCATCAACCACTCCCAGCTCATCTCTAAAGACTCCTGACACCTCAAAGTCCCTAACCTCATCCCTCAGTTCCCAAAAGAAGACATTCACGAGTGCGTTCAAGAGAAAGCCAGCTAAAAATACTTCCTTAACTCTACAGTCTAAGTCTAAAGGTAGTTTGGCTACTTCCATAAGTAAACTTCGCAAGTAAATATTTTAGATTATTCTATATTTTAGTAGCTTAGTGGGGTTTTGGGGTTTTGGGGTTTTGGGG